TTTGTTAGATAAAAATAACGCCATAAATTTGGTATCATCTGAATGTCTTTATTAAATTAGGCTTATAATATTTTAGATACTTTAAACAAATTGATTAGACATTTTTTTTTTACATATTCGTCTATATATACATATATATACACACACGTATACCTAATTGATATTAAATTTAAATATATGTAGACATGTTTTCTTTACATAATAGTCTAGATTTTTTTTTTTTTTTTGCACAATATTAAATTCAAATGTTTTTAGATATGTTTTCTTTCTAAAATTGTTTAGAAAAGTTGTAGGTAACTTCACATCTTTCAAAAATAATATAAAAATTTTTGAATACTTTTCCATATACTAATATAATATTTTAGGTATTTTAATATTAAACATCCAAATTTTCTATTCTCTTATACAAAATAATGCAAATTTTATATTATCTTATACAAAATAATTTTATATTGTTTGACCTCGAATCTTCAATTTATAATTATTAAGTATTGTTTATCTTCCTCTTTAATTTATAATTATTTTTTACTCTTTTTAAATAGGATCAATAGTAGTTTCCACTTCCACCATTGAGTGACTCAAACTCGAGGTCTATTTATAATATTGTTGATTTAATATTGTTTCCGTGCATCGCACGGGGCACACACTAGTCCTGACATATCACATATGTATCATAGGAAGTCAAAACAACAAATACACTTCAAATTGAACATATATTGATTATTAGCACGAGAAATACTTCAAGATTTGTCTGCCACGGCCATGGCGAAATCTTCAAACCGGTCACACTTTATTAATAAAAATAAATATTAATGTCATACTTTTATTTACGTTATTATTTAATATTTTAGTTTAAGAATATACATATCTATTCTATAATATATTTCTATAATATATGCAAATAGTTTAGGTAGAACATATCTATATATATATATATGTTTGATTATTTTTTAAATAGTAACTATTGGGGTCTCACTGCCAGTCTAGACTGTGAACGAATAGTTTAGTCTTATAAGGAACCGATATGTGATCTTTCTGTTCGAAACTCTTCGAATCACACTACCTCAATATAAGACATGAACTATGTATTGCATAAATAAATAAACTGCAAACATATGTACTTTGACCGAAACATGATTGCCAGATCAAATTTCCCGCCAAAAAAATATTGTTTACTAATTCTGTAAATTATTTAAACATTTTATGGTATGTTTTAAAGGTACAATTTAGGTAATTGCGGCTGATTTATTAAGGTAATAAATCACATAAAAATTTCATTTGTATCTGATCAAGATATGCATATCATATAGTTGTACATATATATCATATATTTGTACATAAAATATCGAGATCTATAATATTCTAACAAACATTAGATTTACTTATATATTTTAAATAAATCACATCAATAAATAATATTAATATACATTAAATACTTATCATTATATAAAAAATGAATATTACTTCTATAAATGTTATAAATAATATTGACATTATATTACAATAAATTTTTAAATAAAATAATATTTGAGTATTATGATGAACCAAAATAGGTAAAATTATTACTTTTTTGTATTAAAAAAATAAATATATATATGTTTAATGTTTTTTAATTAATGTAAATGGAGCACAGACTAATTCATTGTTAAAATAAAACTTTGCAAAAATATTTTAAGTTACAAAACCCTCGTGCGTCGCACGGGATTCTCACTAGTATATAAGAGTCACACACAATGACACAATTAAATACAAAACAAGAAAAAAATTGTTTATTCATACCATAATTATAGCTTTGATGTTATTCCTTGTAAGTTTGATTGAACTCTTTAAATCCTCAGATTCTGAAACCTTTCCTTGATCATCACTATAGAATGCCAAAAGCTCGTCCACCATGTCGCTATCCACGGGCCCGTCGGGCTTCTCCTTTCTCATATGCTCCTCAATTATAGTGTCGATAAATCTGTCGAGCGAATCCCGGGCCCTAACGAGCCTCCCGTTGAGACCCTGCAAATCAACCCAACCCAGCCACGGAATAAAATCCGCGACATTAAACGCGCCAAACAACTTGGAAAACTCCTGCAAGATCTTGATAAACTCTTCCGGGCCCTCCTTGGAGCCCGACCCGAACGCGGCCCGGTATATAACATCCCAGGTCAGCCCGAACACGAGCTCCCCCACATTGACGGGCCTGCCCGAGCCGGCGGCCTCGGCCACGGCCCGGACCATCACGTCCACCTCGTCCCGGTCCGAGGCCCACGACTCGGCCCGTTTACGGCTGAAGAGCTTCATTACGCACAACTTGCGCATCTGTCGCCAGAAGGGCCCGTAATGCACGAATGCCATGTCGGCCCGGTCGTAAGTCAAGTAGCGTATGGCGGCGGTGGCGGGCCGGTTGGAGAAGATGCTGTCGTGGGCCTGGAGGACTTCGCGGGCCGTGTCTGGGCTCGACACGACTATCATGTGGAGGGAGCCCAAGCGGAGGAGGAAGATGCTACCGTAGCGCTTGGCGAGATGGGCCAGTCCGACGTGGGTCAGCTGGCCCATTATGCCCATGTTGCCGATAACGGGCCAACCGCGGGGCCCGGGAGGGTAGTGCTTGGCCCGGTATCGGGATAAGGCGAAGAGGATAAGGAGAGGGATTAGGAAGAGGATTGGCAAGGGAAATTTGGTGTCTAGGGCTAGGATAAGAGCATGTATTTTCTTTTCCATATTTTTTTTAGTTAATTTTTTTTTTTTTTTTTTTGACTGGAAAAGAAACTTATCATTAATATATCAAAATTAAACTAAGTCAGTATAGATAATATTTTTTTAGTTATTATTAAGTAATATTTTTTTTTAGTAATATTTTTTTGCAACTCTATTTTTCGGTTAAGGTTTTTGGGATGTGGCGAGGGTTTTATATAGTGAGCAAAGAGGTTGTGTAGGTAGTAATATTTTAATTTGATTATATTAAGAGACACTGTAATTAATTTTGAATAAATATTTAATGTGCGCGATTAAAACATGTTTGGTTTGAATAATCTGAGGTGGTCAAATTGAAAAGATGGCTCGTTTGTCAAAAGTATAGATATTAAATGAGCTTGGACTTGACGGTTCATTCAATAAGCTTGTTTGAATGAACCGTCCAGTGCAAGCTAGACATGGCCACGGGCCGAACTGGTTCGTGGCCCGACCCGCGAACCGGCACCGGCCCGGCCCGACCCGAACTGGCCTGGAACCGGCTTCCTAAGAGCCGGTTCGTTGAACCGGAACCGTAGGGCTGCGATTCGATCCCGGTTCAATTTTTTTGTTTTTGTCCCGCCGGGTCGGGCCGGGCCGGGCCAATTTTTTTGCTTTTCTTAAGGACCGTACCGGCACGTGAATCGCCGGGCCGGTGAACCAACAGTTCGGGCCGGTTCTATGAACCGGCCCTTCGTTCCTAGCGGGCCGGTCGCGGTCCGGCTGTTTGAGGGCCCGTGGCCCGGCGGGTCGGGCCGGGCCGGGCCTTGGCCCCTGGCCACGTCTAGTGCAAGCTAATTTAGTCTATATATATTTATTTCTTAATTATTAAGACAAAAGTTAATTTTGATTATTTTTTCCACTATAAATATCAACTACTTATTTTATTTTAAAATTTGTTATTACTTTTTCTACAATTTTTAAAAATATAATAGAACTGGTTTATATAATTGAAATTATTTAAAATTTCGAAGAAGTACAATTTTTGCGTTTATAATAAAACAATGTAAGTTCATGTAAATTTGCGGAAACCAATAATTAAAAACGAACTCAAGAGGCGTTTCACTCCCTTCCTAGACTCTTTCATTAAGTAAGTATTTGCCAACAATTACAAATAGGAATTTTTATCGCCTAGACTCCATTTAGTTAACCTACTTTGTATCCCACCAACCTAACTACTATTCTTGCCACAAAATGGACTTAAGTTGCGTGTATGAATCCCTCCAAGCAGTATGAAGATGTTTGTCCCAAACACTAAGTAGAAAAACAAACAAACAACTCGAATTACCAGATATTTCGAGTAAAATAGAGTACACAATAGTGTGCTCGAACACCAAAAATAAAAGCGGAGGCAATTAACTTTAAAGTCATTTCGGAGAGTGTCCCACTGCCCCTCAGAGCTCTTTCATTAATAGCTCGGTTTGTGCGCACAAAGTACAACTTGGTCTTATATGACTCGAACTCTTTATATTCTAGCCAACACTATACTCGAGCCTATTAACTAATTCTCTAGCCACAACCTTATGGACTTCAATCTAGATAACCCACCAGCTATGCTAGTACTTAATCCTTAAGTACGAAAAGTGTTTGTAGAAAAAGAGAACCGAAATACAATCCTTCAGTGGGTGTGGGTGTAAGAACACTGAAACACTATTCAAAAGAACTCAAATACAAAACTCTCAATCACTCAAAGAAATCTTCAGTATGATGAACTCTGATATGTGCAGTAGCCTTCAACGGAGTATTTCAGACGATATATATACAATCTCCCCAGGGCAAAGCGTCTTCAAGCTTCCTTCCTTTTGGAGTGAATTTATTTCATTCTTTAAAATTCTAGCTAAGGTCGAGATCTTCATATATGGAAGCCGAGATCTTGTATGCCTCGATCAACTTCTCTCTTCCTCTGAATCCAAGATCTTCTAGAAAACCAAAACACGCATTATAGAAACTCGCCATATCTATATCTATATCTATATAATGAATCAATCCTTATTGTCATAATTGACATGATTTTGGGTGGAAAATTTTTTCGTCTATATTTGACATCTAATTAACATTTATTTATTAGCAAATTGTATGCATGAAAAATATAATTAATTATTATACACTAAATAACTATTGCTCATTAACTATAAATTGGTCTAAATTGAAATTTTGACCGTATGTTATATTAGATATATTTTCAAGAAGATCTTATATTAATTTAATAATAATTTATTGACACAATTCAAAAAATTATTACAGAAATTGATTTGATTAAATATATTATCATATGTGGTTGTACGTATTAATTTAATTTATTATATTTACTGTTTAGAAGTACTTAAAATATTTAATAAAATAATCAAAATAACTATATTTAAATCATAATAACTTAATAAATAATTTAAAATATTAATAAAAGATTCTAAATTGTAATCAATTTAACTATAAAAGGCACGTCCTCATTGAATATATCATATGCAATGATAATAGTATTGAAAATTGAAATAATATACTAATAAAAATAAAATTTGATGGTCGAGTGCAATTCAGAATTATAAATTTCACCTTAGAAGTATCTATGTATATTAAAAAAATATTCACTTTTTAAAATTATATTTTTTTTCTTATATACTATTTTATAAATGAAAAACAAGTTAATAAAAAAGTAATGTATAATAATTTAAATTATAGCACTTGTAATTATATAAATATATAATATATCTCAATATTCGAATAGATACTATGTAACTCATTATATAGGTTGAAAAAATAAATTAAAGAAATAAATATGAATAAAAAATGAAAATATAAAGATACAATATTTAACCATAAAAAATTTGTGTGCTGCATAAAGATTAAAGTTACTAAAAATTAAAATTTATTTATCAAAGTTTTTAACATTTAATGTACTTAATAACTATAGTGGAAGATAAACATTATGAGCTAAACGTTGGTCAAGCAATGTGCAAATTATGAATTGTTAATTAAATATAAGACTATGGTAAACGACAATTAAGTACATACAAGTAATTTGTATGCAAATATCATATGATATTATACATATATAATATTTTAAAAACTTACAAATAATAAAACTTATATATTAAATAGTCAAAAACTGCAAAAAAAAAAAAACATATAAAAAATAGAAATTAACAATAATAGTAAATAAATAAATGTCATATTATTATTGAATAGAATATTGTGGAGAATATAATTTCATGTTGTCTTAAATAATTTTATAGCATTTAAACAAAAAATATTTTTTGTATTACACCTCGTACATTGTACGGGTATCAACACTAATTAAATAGAATAGATCTAAGTATAAACAAAAGAAAGAGGGGGGAATGTTGATCTTCCCTTTTTATTTTCCTACATTAAAATGTCTTCGAAACTTTTTGTCAAAATAAAATCTTACAATTTTCAAACTAAAAACACTTTTAAATAAGACATACAAAAACAAAATATAAAATAGAAAGGAAACGAGAATTATTTATTTAAATCAAAAATAAAAAAAAATAACTGGACAAAATTAAAACAAAAAAAAAAACGAGTGGACCAAAATCAAACAGGCGTATTCTGAGAATACGTTTTATAAATAAAATTAATTTTATTTATTATATTTAATTCTAAAACGTATTTTCAAAATACGTTTTACAATTAAATGTAATGAATGATTTAGATTTAATTGTAAAACGTATTTCCGTAATACGTTTGACAATGAATTAATTGTAAAACGTATTATGAAAATACTTTTTACAAATAAAATTTATTATTTATATTTAATTTTCTTTATTTTTTGCAATATATTAACTTATATAATGAGGCGACCTTGCGGTGTTCCGTCGGCTTCGATAAGTGAGTC